TGTGGACAATTTAGTTCTCGAAAGTGGGCGCTAAATAGCGCGCTGGCTTTGAAGTAGCAATTTCCTTTTTCCCTTATTATCTAGAGTGCTTCTAAATTTGGTTGTTTAGCAGTTTATCTACGAGGTGATTGCGCTCGTAAAGATTGTGTTGTTTTCGTATCTGATATATGCAATTTTCAACGGTAAGGTTAAAAAGATCGTATCGTTTAGAAGCTCTTTTCCAGAGAAAAAACAAAAACAAAAACAAAAACAAAACAAAATTTAAGATACTTTTCAGATTTGATGAATTTTCCTGGGGTTCAATCGCGGGGGTTTTTGTGGTCTTAGACGTTCTTTGGGATATCATGCAATGCTCCCTTAAAATTTTCCAAGCATAAGCAAACCACCGAGAGCCATTCATTCTCGAAGAACCTTAAACGCTAGTTTTGCTCACCAGGACTATTCCAATTTCACATAGTGTTTTTTTTCCTCTCTTTCTTTATATCGTATTCCGCGTTTGAAAATGTGACAAATCCAGAAGGCAGCGCCTCAAGATATTTTCCATCGTTCCCGTAGGCTCTTTGTTCAGATTTCGATGAGCTTGATTCTTACTAGGAGCTTATATCAAGAACATTTGAGGAATGTGGGAAGTCTTATATTGTCTATTATCGATGTTCACAATGAGAAAATACATTGTTTCACTTGGTGGTAAAAGATACATTGCGTTAAATGAAATAAAACACGTAATAAGTGCCTCAAGTACTATTGCATTTAAAGTAACTTTTATGGTAAGCACTGATTTTTTTTTTTTATTTTTTTATTTTTTATTGGAAGGGGTCAAAACGTCTGGAAAGATAAGGAAAGCTTACCGCCTTTGAGCACAGAAGGGATCGAGGCAAAGTTCTTGTTAATGGCTTTTATTTTTAAACAAAATTCGCATAAGAACAAAAGACATCACTTTAATTTTTATTTTATGGTATATATATATAAGCTGATCTCTAAAAGTTTTACTATATGATAGCTTTGTATTCGTGCAGAAATGGATATTTTTGATTGAAGGTGTCTATTGGTCGTCGAGTTTGGATTGTGCTGATAAATCTGTTGAAATAATAATAACAATGATAATATTAATAACAATAAAAATAATAATGAAAATATTAATAGCAATAAAAATAATGATGAAAATATTAATAACAATAAAAATAATAATGAAAATATTAATAACAATAAAAATAACAATGATAATATTAATAACAATAAAAATAATAATGATAATATTAATAACAAAAATAACAATGATAATATTAATAACAATTAAAATCATAATGATAATATTAATAACAATTAAAATCACATCGATCTAAATCTACTGACTTTGTCGTGAGACAATAAACAAATTTATATTATCAGCTGAGGACTTTCCTTTATAATTTACCTCGACTTTTGAAATACGTTATCCCCATCTCCGCCGGCGTCTCAGCCCACTAGGACGGGATTTCGTGCGCTTCGCCTCGGTCTGCTTTGCCCGCCTTCTGTTCGAACATCCCCTATTTTTGCGCCATTTAGGGTCTGATGATCTCTCCTCATCTTCATCATCAGTGTAACCTTCTGGTCGGTTTTTATCGAAGTAACCATCTTCAGTATTCTGATCAAAGTCACTTTAATTGAGATGAACATTGTTAGCTTTTCTAAATCAACATCTTTAGCTGCTGAACTTGTTTTAATTGCATAATAATAAAAACCCCCGGATCATATAAAGCCTGATTATTTTAAAGTTCACTCCATGGTCGAGACATCTGGTATAGAGAGACGCCCAGTTCTAAACGCCACCATTGTGTGTTATTTTATTTAATACAGTACCAAAAATAACCTTATGGATTGGAGACAATTATTGAGTGCCCCACAGTAAATAAATAGGTTCATAAGGGTATTTTTTGTCATGCTAGTAAAATCAAACTTCTTCTGGGCCAAAGGGGCTTTACAATTTTATAGTGGAGTTTATATGGTTTTTCTTCTCTGTGCTTAATTCGTGGCAATAAAGGATACGATATCCTCCTCTCTCGTTTACGTGTACGGTTTGGGATAGCTGGGAAGCCTCTATTATGGTTGCAATCTTATTTATCGAATCGCACGCAATATGTCTCCGTTGATGGTGGTACTTCGACGAAACATGACCTTAAATGTGGAGTGCCACAAGGATCTGTCTTGGGACCCATCTTGTATTTGCTTTATACTTCACCGCTTTCAGATATCGTAAAGAAATTTAACCTGAGCTATCATTTTTATGCTGACGACTCACAGCTTTACTTGTCTTTCCAACCAACCGTACTGGGTGATAGGGATCTAGCGGTTTCTAGCATCGAGAGCTGTGTGGATGAAATCAGTCATTGGATGATGGTTAATCGTCTTAAATTAAATAAAGACAAAACTGAATTATTGGTAATTTCCGCTAAACATCTTCCAAGACCACTCCTTCATGAAATTTCAGTTGCTGGTGAGACTATCCCTTCCGTGCAAAAGGCGAGGAATATCGGCACTATGTTCGACAGCCATTTTTGCTTTAAGGATCATATTACTGACATTTGTAAATCTTCATTTTATCATTTGCGAAATATTAGCTATATCAGGAAATATCTTTCAGCGACCACTACTGAATTGCTGGTTCATATGTTTGTATCTTCGAAGCTGGATTACTGTAATTCCCTTTTGTATGGCCTACCAGCCTACGCTATAAAAAGGCTACAACATGTCCAGAATGCCGCGGCGCGCCTCGTCACACTTACAAAAAAGCATGATCACATTACGCCTGTTCTTTTCAATCTTCATTGGCTTCCCGTTAACCAACGTATTATTTTTAAGATTTTACTTATAACCTACAAGGCACTTAACAACCTGGCACCGTCGTACATTTGTGATCTGCTTACATCTTACACCCCATCGCGTCAACTACGCTCATCATTCAAGCACCTTCTGGTTTCTCCATCCTATAACTTGAAAACATATGGCGCAAGATCTTTCTCTGTAGCAGCACCATCATTATGGAATACTTTGCCAAGTGAAATTAGAAATGCTCAGTCTGTGTCTGTTTTTAAACGTAGATTAAAAACTTTACTCTTTAGAAAAGCCTTTTATAATTAATATTAGCTGTCTTAAGTGTTAATTTTCAAGTTTTTTTTCTTGTAGGCGCCTTTGAACAGTAGGATACTGGCGCGGTATAAATCTTTTATTATTATATTATATATATTATATCTACAATTTTAAACTTAGTACCTTAACAATTCTGTCCAGACCGCTGTCTTCTCTTCTTTTCTATAATCAGTCCTACTCAATGCCAAGGAGTTAACAAGAACCGATCCATAGACGGCGATAAGGAGAAACCTGTTCATGGCGAAGTCCTCAGTGCCTCTGGCTCGTTCGCCGGGTTTACAGTGCATTTTATATCCTTTGATAGCAAATACAAGTGAGTGATTTCCATATTGCGTGGTCGTGTTCTAAGCCTTATTTATCAACAGATAAAGGGCTCGATCAGTCTTGTTCACCAATATTTCAGTTTGGTAAGTAAGCCTGCGTGATACTGTTGTAACCTGATGAAACCAGCTGAGAAGACGATATAACGCAAAACATTTCTGCAGCTGCACCATGATCATTTATACAATTTACTCGCCTCTTGAAACTGATCAGTTTATTGGGAAAAGAAAAAGAGGAGAATAACACTTCTAGATAGGCATTTTAATTAAATGTTTTTCCAATGTTCTAGCTAAGAAAGCTAGCCAAGCCAAGCTACTTCAAAGGCCCCAGGATTTAAACGATCTTTAGTCAATGACGTATTTATCTGAAGTGTTTTTTCTCCTATTAGGTTCGTTTATCTAAGCTCGTATGAGGTCATTTTACTGATAGATTTACGCAGCTGAACAGAGAATACTCTCTTATCTTTTTAATTGCTGTCTCGTCTTTGTTCTATTAGGCATTCAAAACACTTCTTGCAATTGGTACTCTTGATTTTGATGCGGAAATATATTGCCTTGGTCATTCATTGATCTCGGCGTAAAGGAGAAGTGTTCGAAATTTCTTAACTCGTGTGGCGCAAGAACGATGAAAGGGTTGAAGTGGTATATTTTTCCTAAAATTTGCAGTGTTATTACGACAATTCACTCCCTGATAGTGTTAGATGCGTTTGACTTTAAACAAAAGCAGAAAATTTTTTTTGCCTTTTTATCACTGTTTAGGTGATTCTAATTTCTTTAAGCAATTTGTATTCATGCACTGAATAGGACGACTGGATTTTTTTACAGGTCCTGATGCACTTGCAATAGTAGGGAATGTTCGGTAACCACGATATTCCAGTAAACTTATAGTATTCACATCCTGGCGATAAACTTCATCGTGGAACAACCAAATGAAGGAGTCTGTAGATAAGAGCGCACTTTTTAAGAGTGGCTAACAATATCCGAGCTACATTTTTTTTCTCGAAAGTGCAAAACAGAGGGTGACTTTGAACAATTGCAGCAAAAGTTTTCGCCTGCTTATTACCATTTAAGTGTTTATATATATATTTTTTTTTAAGCTTAGTTCAGACGTCTTTCCACTCATGTGCCGAAACTAATTGATAAATTAAGTCCGGAAAAAGAGCGACGTCTGAGTCAGTTCTAATTCGGTTCTATAGCTTTAATTAAGTGCGGCAAATATCGTCAAGCTCGACAAGGTCTGTCGGATTATTCGAAAATGGAGAGGCAGCTGATTCAAACTGTAGAAAATCTCTCTCGTTTTTAAATTTCAAATAGTAATTTTTCTCTTCCTCTCCCCCCTTTGCATTCTTTTTGTATTCACGCGCGGTACGCGTGATTTCATGAATTAGCCAATCACGTCAAAGAACTCTAACCTTGACAATGGAAAAGCTGACGTGGACATTTTTCGTGTACTTTTAGTTTTTTTTTCGCGGGGTTTTACTTAGTTGTTTTTTGTAAGCTTTTGTTCGCGTAAATTTTTCTCTTTTTTGATTGGAATTTTGAGAAGTTTTGGAGTTTTCATTTTAGCCAAATCTTGTAGTTTGTTTAACAAGTTTATGCATATTTTCTACGGAGTTTGGAGTCTAGTCTCTTTTTCTTAAATGGATTTTATACACAGACGTCGCTCTTCTC